GGGCTTCTGCACAGCCTCCTCTTCCAGACTGAAAACCAAGGCTACACAAGAGTGGGATCCCAGCTGCCCAGTAGGGAGAAGGGCATCTGAGCCCTGTGAGCTCTCCCATGGGGAAGGCCGGGGGGTGCCCAATCAACCTCCCTTCAGCAGTTCTGCCCCTTGATTAACCAGGAAATGTGTTATTTGTTCTGAGTAGGGGAACAAGCTCTCCTGGGGAGAAGAATTCAGGGCTGGAGGTCCATTCACTTCCAAGGAAGAAAAATCCTTGGAATTCTGTCGGGAGTCTGGGTCTCAGCGAAGGCAACAGAAATGCGGTCCTTGTTTTGGTCCTTATTTACCAAATTAGTTCGGGTTCTGGTAGCTCCATGGCCGCCAGCATTATTCCAGCAAGACATGGGGAAGCAATTAGGCAGCCCGGTGTCCAGCTGACTGCCATCCCCTCTCATGGGACATGCGTCTGGCAAACCTTTTGCTGCTGGAATCTCTTTATCAACCCCATGGCACTCTGCACAGGGCTTTGCAGAGATGGTTTTCATTCCCAGACCCAAGAGAGATGGGTGAGTAGGCCCAGCAGCATTCTGTACCTCGTTAGGCAGAAAGCTGAAAGGAGGATGGGGAAGTGACGCATGGTGAGTCAGGGGCTGTGCTGGAAACAGCACCCCATATTTTCCCCTGCAGAGAAATCGAACAGGGCAGAATGTTCTGGTGACCCACATCTCCAGGAAATTGAACTGCAGGCTAGTAGGCAGGGAAGAGGGCATTTAGGAATATGCACCGGAGATAAATTTGCTGGTGACAGCGGTAGGGCTGGCTGGGAAGATACCACTGCAATTGGGAAGAGCCCAGGGCTGAGGCAAGATGGTGCAGTCTTAAAAGCTTGGCTTCAGGTGGGAAACAGCCAAGGTTTGGATCCTGTATCTGCTACTTTGCAGCCAGCTGTGTGATCTTGGGCAGGCTAGTCGCCATGCCTGGCCTCGGTTGTCTCTCTTGTAGATGTGGAAATCAGTAACACCTCCTTTGATTGGTTAAATGAGACACTTTATTTATTTATTTTTGTTTGTTGTTTTTGAGAAGATTTTATTTTATTTTATTTATTTTTTTGCTATAGGGCATGTGCACTTGCAAGAAAGACAGAGACAGAGATACAGAAAGCAAGAAATCACCACCCAGGGAGGATGGCCACACCACAATCCCTTCTACATTCTCCTCTCGGGATCTTGGGTACACATGCACACACGCCCGGAGTGAGGTTAAGCCACCGTGTCTAGGACTTGACCCGTGGTAGACTACATGGGAGTCCAGCAACATAGCCATTACGCCAATTGCTGGTCCCAAATGAGACATTTTATATAGCATGGTCGCGATGGTGCTTGAACTCAAGTAGTCTCCATAAATTTTGGCAGCTAAGGGAGGGATGGGCAGTGAAGGGACCAGGACACGAGGACGGTGCTGGGGTGTGGGTAGGAGATGCTAGTCTTTGGAGTCGATTAGCCCAGCTGTGGGCCCCAAGAGAACAGGGTGGGCATTTCCAAGGACCACTTGTACTTACCAGGGAGTGGGAGGGGGACCCAGTGGTGAGGGAAATGTGTCTGCGTGAGGGTTTTGGCTGAGGAGAGCCGTGAGAGGCTGAATGGGAGGCAGACTTCCAGAAATGCAGACGGAGGAGACGGAGCGGTAATAATGACTTGGACACAGAGGAGGAAAAAATAGCTCAGGGACGAAGATGACGCCAAGGTTTCTGGCCTTGGGAGGCTCATGGGAATCTGAGGTGAGCGTTGAGGGATGAAGAGGAGAGTTCCAGAAGGAACTGGGAGGTTGTGGGGAGACAAAGGGAACCCAGAATACAGAGTTGGGGGGAATATCTGGCCAAGGAGCAGTAAGCTCAGAGCTGAAGTGGCATCTACAGCTGTGAGGCAGTGTGTCAGGGAGGGAACCAAGCATTCTGGAAAAACGAAAGGGATGGGATTTAAGGGGTTCTTGTGGAGCAGCCCTAAAGACAGTAAGCACATGAATCAGTAGCTACCACCTAGAACTCAGTATTTCTCTCTTAAAGTGGGTCTAATGATACCAGTCCTCTCTACTCGATGGGATGTTCTGTTGCTCATTCAGTTAGCCACCGATCTGTCACTTACATCATGGCTGTCCATCAGAGTGAAGCACCATTCCAGGTTCTGGTGAGACAGAGCTGTAAGGCAGACAAAGTATCTATTCCTGTAGGGCTACTACTGGGCTACGGAAAGATTTCATAGGTTGTTGAGCAAGACTTTTCCTGTGGTCTTAGACTGTCTGTCGAAGCTTCAAAGCCTAAAACAGCAAGATGAAATACTTTCACACTTTTTAAAAAGAATTATTTATTTTATTTTATTATTATAGTTTAAAAATTTGCGATAGGGTATGCAAGCTCACCAAAGAGAGACAGACAGAGAGAGAGAGAAAAAAAGAGAGGGAGAGAGGGAGAGAGAGGGAAAGTGAGAAGCATGCTACCAGGTTGGGACCTGAGCCATGGTCGGCCATGTGGGAGTCTAGCACCTTTAACCATCATGTCACCTGCTGGCCCCAATATTCTCACATTCTAAAGAGAAGTACTAGGCACCTCACTAAGGCAGAAGAGGCTCGGTATTGTCAAACCACATTTTTGGATTCCAAGTCAGCCACTGACTTATGGAACTGCTGTGCTGAGCTTTTCCAAGATTACTCTCTGATGCAAATCAAGTGAAGGGGCTCAAGAGAACTGTCTGCCAAAAGGGAAGGGCACCATTGGGCATTGGGGTTGTATATAAGTGAAGGGACTTGTGTGTGCCCTCAGTCTGGAAAATTTTGACTGTGGAGCTTGGCTGGAGTGATCTCTATGGGTAAAGAGAGCGCAGGGTCGGGACTAGCAGATGGCGTAATGATTACATTTCTGGACTACGGTTCAAGTCCTGGACCTGGCGGCTTAAATTCATGCCAGGTGCATTTGCATGCATGCCCAAAATCCCAAGAGGAGAATGGAGGAGAAGGGATTGTGATGTGGCCATCCCAAAGTGATTTCTCGCTTTCTGTCTCTCTGGCGAGTGCACACGCCCTATAGGAAAAATCTCTCTCTAAAAATTAAAAAGAGAGAGAGAGGGCAGGGTGAGGGGCAGCCAACTCTCCATTGTTTTGCCTGGCATAGATAGGACAGGTAGGGGATACAGGGATCTGTAAGAGGTTGGCAGAAAGTGCTTTGCTATGATGGGGGTGCAGGCAGAGGTCCTGCAGAGAGCCCTCCAGGAACCCACACAGGTGCCCATGAAAGAACCAGCACTTGGCACCTGCCAACCAAAGGCACCTGTCACCTACGACTTTGTTATTTCTCTATCATTTCCCTCTCAACCTTGACATGGGGGAGCTACAGCAGAAAAAGAGGCTCTGAAAATCAGACCTCACTCTACTCTCCCCACTACAGGGTCTCCAACTAAGGGATGTGCCTGTCAGGGAAGAGGAGGAGAATCAAGTTGGATGTGATATTGATTACACTGAATGAGGTTTTGATTTGAACAGTAGACTTCTAAGTCCCTAAAAACTGGTCTTAAATGAAATTGTCCTCGTGTCTGGTACAGATGGGCAAGCCACGGACTGTCTAAGATGCCATTTAGGATAGGGAGGGGAGATACTCAACGATATAGTTGAAGAGAGTGCATGGAGAAAAATATAGCTGTTTCCTGATTGCTCCTCTTCAGGTTAGACCCATTTGAAAAAGGGGTCATGTTGGCTGGCCTGAAGTGCAGCAGTGGATCCCACTTGGCCTACTGTGGTCTGAATCCCATTCAGATCTCTCAGGATCCTTGCAGGATGGAGAATAAGAGGAAAGAGGATTACAGCATGACTAGGCCCCATGGTGGGGGGGAGGGAGGTAACTTTCTCTTTCTCTCACAAGTGCACACATGAGCCCTCTGACATAAAATAAAGAAAAATCAGTTACACAGTAAACAAATAAATAACAAGACCATTTCAACTGGTCACTAGAGCAAGGAAGGTCAAACAGAGTGGGTGTTAGAGAGCAGCGACCTGGGACAAGAGGGCTGCTCTGGATTGGAGGATCAGGGAAGGCCATCTGGGAGGTGATGTTTAATCTGAGAGGTGAGGTTGAAGAGGGATTCTGTAAACATCTTGGGGACAAACGCTCCAGGTAGAGGAAGGTGGGCATTAGCTGGGTATGTTCAAGAGCAGAGGAGGCCAGTGCACTGCAGTATGATGAGGACCTCAGCAACAAGGCCCTAGAAGTCCAACAGGCAGGGCTCTGTAGGCCAAGGCCAGGCACTGAGGCCTGTTCCCACATTGGTGTCCCCTGCACCTGGCCTCTGTGTAGTGTGTGATGTACACACTGCCCTTGGCCAGCGCCTCTAGGAAGCAGCAGGCTGTGAAAATGTGCAAGGAGGAGGACCAGCAGTTAGCATAATGGCTATGTCACTGGACTCCCATGTAGTCGACTGCGGTTCGAGTCTCGGGTCCGGTAATTTAAACTCATGCTGGGCGCATGTGCATGTGTGCTCAAGATCCCGAGAGATTCGAGAATGGAGGAGAAGGGATTGCGGCGTGGCCATCCCCCCTGGGGGGTGATTTCTCGCTTTCTGTCTCTATGTCTCTCTCTGTCTGTCTGGCGAGCGCAGGCACCCTATAGTGAAAAAACCTTTCCAAAAAAAAGAAAAAAAAATGTGCAAGGAAGGACCAGCACGTGCATAATGGTCACGTCACTGGAACTCCCATGTAGTTGACTGCAGTTCCGTCTCGGAAGTGGTGGCTTCAAATTCATGACAGCGCGTATGTGTGGGTGCCCAAGAGCCCCAGAGGAGAATGAAGGAGAAGGGATTGTGGTGTGGCCATCCTCCCTGGGGGGTGGGGTGGGTGTTCTTGCTTTGTATCTGTCTGTCTGTCTCTCCAGCGGGAACATGAGCCCTATAGCAAAACTTTTTTAAACAACAACGAAACTGGCAGGAGCAACACCATTGGCCTAGGTCTTTAGGGTTCAGGGCAGGAGCATGTGTGAGACTGATGAGCTGATTGCTGGGGGCCCTCAGAGGGGTGGCCACCGGTATTCTTGCACCCCTATTCCCACTGCCAGTACAAAGAGATGTGAGTGAGCACACCGGATCCACCAAAGGCTCATCGAATCCCCTCTGGGGAAATTCCTGAGGAAGTGAGAGACTGGAGAGGGGACCAGAGAATGAACTCTGAGCCAGAGGCAGGAGGTCTGGATTTCATTCCTCTTTGACAACTGCTCTCTCCGTGAGTGGCCTTATTCTAGAGGCTCCATTTTTATGTCTCTGTGAAAAAAGAGGTGTGACACCTCTTCTAGCATCGGCCATCACCATCCCAGGCCTAAGCAGGGCCCGGACGCAGCAGGAGGGCATGATCAAGGCGCAGAAGGCGGGCAGCGGCTCTGCAACTGTCTCGACAACTGCAGGACCGCCAGGAGCGAGCCAGCTCCACGAGGGGGCGCGCGCCCGCAAGAGACCTCCCCGCGCGCCCGGGCGGGAAGAGAAGGGCCCAGGCGCCTGTGCCTCGGCCTCCATCCCTGTCACGCGGTTCTTAGTACCTCTCCGGCCTGCTTCAGATCTTCGAGGTTTCAGCTTTGGTCATCCGACCCGGAGTTTGTACCTGAGGTCAGGGCGGGAGCAAAATTCCGGACAGGTCGGCAGGTCGTGTTTGTCCAGGGCCGGGAGAAGGGCAGTCAGGTGCCTCCGTCCCGCAGGCGCCTTCTGCCCTCCCAGCCCTGGGCAGTCGCGCGCCGCCCCCAGCTCCTCACGGGTTAATCCCCTCGCCGCCCGCTCGCTTCCCGGTGCCAAAGTGGGTGTTGCTGGAATTCCTCTCTCCCTCTCCGTAATGAGGGGGCTGAGCTGTCCCTCCGAGGAGGGGGCATGGTGTGGATAAAAGACGAAAAAGCACGGGGAGGTTCCCCAAAGTAAAACTCTCCAGGTCCCCTTCAGACGGCTCCGGCGACGGGAAGGGGGCGCGGAGGTGCAG